CTTGCACGCTCTACTTCACACTGACTTCCTTACAGTGACGGTGACAGATACATTTATATTTCTGTGTTCGTATGGAATAGTAGTTTATGTCGGGAAGCTGGCTTTAGTATAATCCGGCATTCCCTTTATTATTTACAACACATGGAATTTTTTGATGACCCTTAACAGGAATATGGACGTGCTAGTATCGGAACTATTTCTTGCACGTTTATTTATCCAAAATTTCTTCAACGGCTCGGCGCCAGTGAGGGTATGCTGCGAATGCTGCATTATACTAAAACCAGCCTTTCGACATAAGCTTTTATTCCATACGAGTGGAGCACGTGCGAAATGCGGATTTTCCCAGTTGCAGTACAGCAGTAACTCGACACCTTCCTCACCAACCGCTCTGTCCTCTATGAGCTTCTTAATGTAACTGCAAATAAAAGATGAAAATTTGAGAAAAAATATTATCACAGCGTTTCACTTATAGCGTTTCACTTATAGCGTTTCACTCTTGTAGTATATTGGCTATCAAGCACCAGAAAATTTCCATCACGCATGCCATATGCCACAGATTGTCGTGGATCAATTAAAATACTGTCATCACAGCTTTTTGGTACTCCAGCAACTGGTGTGGCTATGGCGGAGTTATGTGGAGCTGTTGCATGACTAAAATCAATTTGGGCTCTTTGAGAACTGGCTTGTTTGTTGCGCGCTATTGGCATCAAATGTATGCAAATTAGATTTCCAAACGGGCAACTGTTGAATACAGGAAAAAATGTATTTTATATGGTTCCGCTAAAGTGCACTACTACCGTGTATAAATTGGCCGACCTTCTAATAAATCATGCAATCTTATTGTATCGTCATCGCCGCCAGTCACCAAGAAATTTCCACTTGGGTGAAATGCAACATCATTCTCCGCGACGAATGCACTGTATTAGCTCGCCTTCAGCTTTGTCAAATATCTTAACGCGGTTACAACTTAATGCTAAAGCCATCAGATTGCCGTCTGGATGCCATGCCAGCTGTCGTCCCATACCTCTTCCCCCGGTGAACGTTCGCATAAATTCGCCTGAAAATGTATCGCAAATTCTTAACTTGTCTCCGCACGAGGAAATGAACTTACCATTAGGGCTGAATTTTGCTGCGCGCACCCATTTGTGTGCAACTCAGGTCAAAAAAGCGCACTTTATACCAAAATAAGCAACTCTAAAAAACAGATGATCGCAGCTGTGGCCCAGGATGACGTCTATTGCTAAGATATCTCACTTGTATTTGTACACAATGATTCCGGTCTTGAAAATTCCGCTCAAAAATTTTGTGAAACTAACATTAAAGCTGAAATTATTCGCAGGTTCGATTCCTGCTGAAGTCTAGAAAAAAGAAGTCTGATGAGGAGATGTGGTGATCTCCGAAATAGTGCTATAACTTCTACCGCTTAGACTTTGTTGCTTTTTCAATTTTTCCTAATAAACAATCGTGGTACAAAGCTCAATAAAAATATTAAAAATAAAATGTTAACAAGCCACAATAACATTGACAAATACATAGTTTAGGAAGAGCCTGCCTGAAACTATACAAAAAAGCAAATAAGCAAATGGATGTATAGAATTGACAACAACAACCACGCTGTCGAGTTTAAATAGCGGCGAATCAGCTGCACTTGATAGTAGTTGGTTGAATAAGGAAAATGAATTAGCAGCAAGAGTTTACGGGATGTACATAGCTCAGTGGTTAACGCTTCTGACTTTGAACATCGAATTCGCAGGTTCGATTCCTGCTGAAGTCTAGAAAAAAGAAGTCTGATGAGGAGATGTGGTGATCTCCGAAATAGTGCTATAACTTCTACCGCTTAGACTTTGTTGCTTTTTCAAGTTTCTTGTTTTGGTGGAATAATGGGACGTCCTCCCCTTCCTTTACTTGATTTTAAACATTTACAATTCTAAATGTCAAAACACGTCTTTTCTGAACATTTCGAGTTGAAATATTCATAAAAATAATTTTGGCCGCCTAAATCAGCCAAATACCCTATGTGGGTCGGCTGAATCAGTAAAACGTGACAGTAGTTGACTTTTGAGGTTAATATATCGGTCTTGAGTTGGTAAGGTTTTTAAAACATCCGCAGCTTCCTTGAAAGCATCGCTGCTAATTGCTGAGAGGACCAGATTATATTTACCGACATAAGATGTGGTCTTGTACGACTGAAAGGTGGCCTCAATTTGTAGAAACCATTTGTCTGGCATCTCAGTTCAGAACGGTCGCAGCTTGCATTGCGATACAAGCTCCACATCTTTAGTTGGCATTTTGTTCGATGAAATATTCTCCCCATCCGTCGATGCGCCCTTTTGTCGATTCCGTCATGTTGTAACGACTCGGGGTCACCACTAATTTTTTGGTTTTGGAAGTTTGACTATGATTATAGGACATTGTGTTTAATAAACTAAATTACTATTTATTGCATAAGTACTACGTTATATATACTACTTTCGCGAATTTAGCTTATCATAATATACCGTTTGTAACTATTTATATGCAAAATTTGATATGAAAAATAGTACCAAATTTCGTACTACTTCGCAAAGCGGCCTTTTTTTCTTCCCGTTTCTCTCGTGCTTCCATATTACAACCTTTTGTAAGGGAGCCGTCGACATGAGCTGTCACTACGTACAACACCTTGTATAATTCCACCATGGTCTTGACAACATCTATCAGATCTTCTGCAATTTGATCTTTCCGTTTTGATGTAACTAGTTCATCATTGAGCTTTTGAACTTCCTCCAGAAATGTACGAAATGGGTTGGAACAAGCCAGCTTTACAACATGTTTATCATCATTATCCAGTTGCCTTTCTATTTCTTTAAATAATTCATCTTCCATACTTTAAAGCTATCTTCACTATTTACAAGGCAACAAAGACATCCAGCTAACTCACTGCGACTTCTGCTTGGTTCCACAATATTACGGAAAAGCGTAAGAAATATGTTTGCATGCTTACTGCTGGATAAAATGTACTTAATCAGAAAGCCATGTGCACATTTTATTAGGGTCTCTTGGTTCTCTTTTGGAATGGAATAACTTGTTTTTAATGCGTTGTAGAACGAGAAGAATTCATTTTGATTCAAAGTTATTGTACAACTTTCATCGGATGCACTCAAAACTTTCTCTAAATATTCCGTTGTGAATTTTGTATAGCTTTTTAATTCGAGAGTGGGTAACATTAAATTTTGCCAGACTTTGATTCCCTCTGTTATCTGCTCTAAGCCACCTTGGCCAATTAGTAGTCAGCCGCACCTTGTGTTTTAAGAAAACCAGGTGGAATTAACAAATGAAACTTGGTCAGGATGTTAAGGGAGGTATCCTCTAAAACATGTATAACTAAAAAATATAAATAATAGCATTGTTTATAAGTTATTTGTTGTTAAAATTTCTTAAGTCGTTCCACTTGGTTTCCTTAACAAAAAAGCATTTGTGCATACTTTTATATATATAAATGCACATAACACAGTACTTAATACTTTACACACTTTTCTTTTAGTTTATCTTGTATATAAATCACTTTAATTAAACTTTTATCGACTTGTAAATTACATTGAATTTCACGCAAATTTACAATAACACATGGTTGCAAACTGACACATAACATGTGTTGCCATATTGTACAAAACAATACATACAAAGAAGGCAATGATTAAAAAGGAATACAGGGAAAATCAATACAAAAGAAAATGTTCAGCTCCTTTTCTTCGCAAAACAGAAAGGAGAATTCTATTGCCTGAGGGTTATAATCATCGTATATACTTACAAGTATGGAATCCTATGCCCCTTTTTGGCTATTCTCTTTCTAACAGCGGACGTGCCTGCCAAACAGCGGACGTGC